AACCATAAATACATATAAATACATAAAACATCAAAATTTAAAAGCATTACTAAAAAAGAAGAAATATCTATGCCCATGTGTCATCACTGCTTCACAAGCTGCATTGGTTACCACTGGATGAATTGCTTCTGAGTATAATTCAGAGTGCTGGTTGTCATGTATAAAGCCCTTCATGGCATAGGACCTAAGAAACACCTAGCTTCAATTGTTTCTACCTGTCTGTCTTGATCCAGCAGAGTGAGTACACTCTGGGTTCCATCAATTAAATGCAAGACTGAGGAAATGTGTCTTCTGTGTTATGGCTCCTACCTCTGGGACAGCATCCCCCTGGGGATACATACAGCTCCTTCCCTTCAAATGTTCTAGACGCCTCTTAAAACTTGGTTCTGTTCTCAGATCTGGGGTTAGGATGTTTGTGGAGCCCCTGACAGTTTTTGTCTGTGTGTGGGGGGGGTGTTATTTATGTGGTTTTATCCAGGAAGTCATGTTCCTTTTAAATTATGTATTCTTTTAAATATCGTAAGCCACCAAGAGTCTTTTTAGAGTTGGGCAGCCTCAAAACCCAATAAATAAATAAATGTAAGGCCAAAACCACAATATACTCCAATTCAAAATCAATATTAGGTCTTGTCCCTTATCTGCATTATTAAATATCTGTGCTGTTGCTAAGTGAATAATAAAATTATCTTAGCCTCTTTCTGCTTTTCATGGTAACTTATTTCTTTTACTGGGTAGCAAACTGCTTTGGCACTTTGTAGTTCAAACAAATTTTTGGAGAAGCAGAGAACCTATGTTCTGTCAGTTTGCAACATATTCTGTGTACCCTCTGTTTCAGGGTATTCAAAATATCAACTAGTTAGGAATATGAGCTTATCTTTCTAGGTTTTTAAAAAAAATTTCACTACATCATATAACTAATTGAATAATTAAGCTAACATAGAAGCCAAGAATCTGATACAGGGTGGAAACCAGTGCTGTAATTCCATCCATACAACAGCTTTTCATCCACCAGATGGATGATAAAATGAAATAGTGAAGGAGATTTTCTGTTTTTCCTCTTCTCTGAAGTCAACATCATGTCTTAATCTATTTTAAAGGGCCCTCCCTCCAGAATTTTTGGAACAGATTTTCAGAGGTACAGCAAGCTGAGTCTGAAAGGGAGGATTTCTATTCTGTTAATAAAATGGCAACTTTGGATTTTGTTGTTGTTGTTCTATTTTATGATATAAATCTCCTGAAGCAGATAGAATAAAAATATTTGTTCAGAACAAACCAGCACACTGGGCATACAGATGCTGATTTGGTTTCACTACATCAGGGGTGGGTAACTTTCAAACTTGTGAGGTCTACTACATTTTAATAAGACAAGGAGATCTTCAAAATGTAGCTTGTGAAAGAATCCAGAGCCCACATAGTGTTTCCACATATGTGTTTCCTTGTTACTCCATGTTTTTGCTATTTTAGTATCATTTAGTTTTGGAAAGAAGTAATGTTGTAAAATGATTTGAAATCCAAATTCTTGATAGCCTCTTGTAAATCATCCTACATCCTACATCCTATTCTCTGGCTTTTATTGTCTAACACAATAGGCACATTTCATTAGCATAAGAGTCTGCTGCTCTGTACTTTTTTCTCAAATATATATCCAGCCACTACTGAAATAGTAAGGATGTTGCAGGTTTTTGGTGGTAGTTGACCTTTTGTGCATCTAAGATCACATTTTAGCATTGTTCACATGTTCTACCCATCCCTAGCAAACATATTTTTTTCAGTTTGAAAGTCTGTAATAAGTAACTTTCACGTGTGTGGTTTCAACAGCAATCCTAATTAAATGATTTTTAACATACTAACATTATACAGGTGGAATTAATTCCACCAACTAGAGAGTTAGCAGACTTAGTGTAAGTGGATTGTCCTGCACACATAGTCCAAATATGAGTTCACTGTCTTGCTTGAAAATTTTTTACAGATCTCATTATTCAAACATAATAGCTTTCAAGTACTTAACATATGATGAGATGATTGTTTTAACAAACAATAGGAGGGGAAAGAACGCTGATAATTAAAACAGACAAAACATCATTAAAAATATATGAAAGGTCCATTTAATTTTATGTTCAACATGTATGTATATTAATTTCCTGCTTTAAAAAAAGTGACTGCAAACTGCTGTACCTATCAAGGAGAATAATTTTTAAATAGGCTTTAATCATTCAGTGGTTTCTGTATCATACTAACACTATACTTAACAATCTGAAAGATCTAGTAACTCTTCCTAAGACTTTCCCCCCAAAATATAGACATTCAGAAGGCAACTGAACATAGTTTTGGAAATGTATTTATTTAATCAATTTATATAACCACCCATCTCAGCCAGTGACTCTGGGTAGTGACAATGTTAAAAGTAAAACTAAAAACAATGACAAAAATTAAAATGCATAGCAGCCAAGAAATATAACAATTAACACAGCCAGGAGAAAGGTCCCCTCACATAGTCATAGTATTATTACTAGTATTTTGTGATGGTACCAGTCATTAACTGCACAGAATAGCTGAAGTATATATGCAGGAATATTTTTTCAGTGTATCATCCTGTGAAATTTACTAATTTAAAAAATAAGAATCCTAAATCCTTTCTTGCAATACTACATAGCAGAAATGTGGGAGCTCTCTCATGTTAACTTCAACTTAATTTGAAAATAATCCCAATTTTTTTGTTAAAGGAGAACTCAAATTATTTTCCAAGCCAGAATTTATCTTGTGAACATACACCCATCTGTCTTGTGAAAAAATGATAAAATGTCTCACTTAATTTGCCTAGGAGGCCTAGGAAAGGGGTGGGGGGATCCATCTGGCATTAAGGATTTAGGTTAAGACAGTCTTTTATAAGGGATGGCTTGTTCATAGCTCCATTTTTCTTGAAGTCAATTATTTTCTTAAAGAAAAGAACAGGTAGAAAGAATGTCCATGTTTGTAATATGAGCTAGATTATACTTTAGAGCTTCTAATTATAATATTTGAAGTGACCTTTTGCTGAACTGTCAAAGCTCAAAATATCACTGGGATCTCTGTAGTCATGGATCTCATGCATAGAATTGTCCTTTTGTTTTGTTTGATGTAATTACTGTTTACACAATATGAGTATAAGAATTGAAATATTTCATCCATTTTTTTTTACTTGTGTTTTCTGTAGTTTAGAAAATGTAATTTAATATAAGGGCAGTAGCTATGTGAGGGGACATAGCCTAACTTTTGTTCTGTCTGTACAAATAAGTTTATAAATATTTAGGTTTAGAGCTTTCTGATACCAGCATATGTCAGTCTTTATTCCCAGGCATAACACGAACAAATTCTTCCTTCACTACACTCTTATCTCTTTTCAGTATTTTGATCTTGTTTAAGTTCCCATTTTTCTGGCTCTTTAATTGTTAGCACTTTTTACCATTTTACCCTCTTTCATGCTCAATAATCAGTTTCCAGAACTTCAATGATAAGTTTCCAGAAAGAGTTCCAACTTCAAAATGGGCCTCTTTCAAGATCAGGATGGCTATTTCTGATTTAAGTTTGAAACATTTCCAGGAAGATTTAAACTCTGTGCATTTTGAGTTCAAAAGAGTTCAAATTCAAAATGCTTTGTACATGTTCATAGTAATCAAGATAATACTAATATGTTCACCCCCCACCACATCTGCCTGCTTTTTACACTTGCTCTTGCACTTTTTAAATAAATCCAAACTGGAAGCTGGTAATGAAGATTGCTTTTGTAAAATTTCAGTTAGCTTATTAAAGGTGTTGTCTCTCAGAAGTAATACATGGGAATTTAAGGTATAGGATCGAAGCAGCAGTATCAGTTGTATTAAGTAGGGAAAGAATGGACTTCATGTGCAAGGAAGGCGGTAACCATTGCTGTTAAAAAATAATCTGTACAGTCCTCTAACATTCAAAACAATTTACCAGCTGTAATGATTGGGATGCTTGAGGGAAGCTTAAGTTCATGTCCTCAGCTATGGAAAGTCACTTGGTAACTTTAGGTTAATTAGTGCACATCAGCCCAAACTATGGAGTTCTGTTAACCCAAACTATCAGGTTCTGGTTATAAGATTTAAAAAATTGGAGGAGAAAAGATGGGATCTAAATATAACAAAATAATGTGTATGTTTCTTGGTATCCTTTTGTTCTGGAATGTTTTGGGATATAGATTTCTGGAATTGTATTTCTAGAACATAACTAAATATATTTAAATTTATTTTAAAATATTTACATTGCACAATAAGAATTTTCTGAAATATTGGTAAAAAAAGGGAGGAGTGGTTTCTGAACTACTTCAGAATTAATTCTCTTTTTCAGAAGGCTAAGTCTAGTCTGATCTTTGTTTTCCTGCAGTGAACACCTACCTCTTCATGATGCAAGCCCAAGGTATCATGATTCGTGAAAATATGAGAACGATAGGAGCACAGGTTTATGAGCAGGTGGTCCGCAGTGCCTATGCCAAGAGGAACAGCACTGGAAATTACTCTGGTATGTTTTATGGGGACTGGGGTAATTTTCATAAAATGTTAGGAAAGATTTCTTTTTGTCTGACTTAATAAACAGAAGAAATGTGAAGCTTTCAGAGATTGCTGAATGGAATGAATTGATTTATAAGCTGTGTAAAATTCAGATAGTATTTGTTAAGCTCCAGAAGTATTTATTTTTTCTTTGAAGATGCAAGACAAAATCCTGCCTCTTAAATACTGTCTCTCCTCAAGTAGTGACCAGCCCATGTCTGGCTTTGGTTCGGCTTGGGAAGAATTTACATAAGTGTAGGTATATGTCCACTATGTTAGCATGAGACAATAAGCCTACAGATACTGAAATGAATGGACTTAAACCTAAGCTACTTACCTGAGAGATAGTTTGTCTTTTTGCTTATGAAAATTACTGGATATTTAGAAAGCATATAAAGGCCAAAGATTCATCAAAATTGAGTATTTGAACTATATGTACATGTCTTTTCAAAATGCAAGGAAAGGATCCAGAAATAGATAAGACCTCTTCTGGATGAATATATAAATAATTGTAACGATAGCCCAATTGACATTTTATGGTCTTAGATACATAGCCAAATGCCTTTGGTAATTGCTTTAGAAGTAGTGGTGCAGCTGACAAATCAAAATAGAAGACACCAATTCTTTGAAAATTAAAATTGGCTTCATTATTCCTCAGCTATTTAAGAGGAAGAGCAAAAGTCCTGGTTTGTTCATTCCAGAAGTGGGAATAATCCTAATCCAAATGCTCAGGCTGGAGCAGGGTCTCACTCTTAAACTGGCTTAGGTAGTGTGACCAAGTGGTCACTGATGCGCAAAGCAAGAAATGTTCTGTTGCAGCAACCAACTTTAGTAATCACTATCAACATAGATCTGTTTATACTTATTACAACCAAATTCTAGATATGCATGGTATCTTATTCTAGCCTTTAGTGACATACAAGTGGATCATAATCAGAGTCACTGCTGTGAGATGGGCAGCCATATAAATTATATAAATAAATAATTGTGGGTTTTAAAAAGAGTATTCTGTTTTAATTTTTGAATTCTATTTTAAACACCACTTGAGCACTGAGCTTTTACTTCTAACCCACCCAGTGGCCAAATTCACTGGGTGGATTCCATAGTTACTAACATAAAAAAGAAAAAGAGAAATGGTAAAACAATAATATACAGGAAAGATATAAAGCACATAAAAACTACTATTCTACCATGAAGCAGGGACTTCAAAATCAAACTGAATATAAAAGTATAAAAATAACTCGTTATACTTATAATACTACTAATAAATAATATAAGGGCTTGACTAAAGAGAATGATGCATCAGAAAAGGTTAAAGTAGTAAATATGCTAGAGGCCCATTTGTACTGTAGGGGCAATTTTCTGCTCTCTTTTCCTGCTCTAGCTTCTACTAAAACGTAATATGTAGTCAAACTAATTTCTGTACAAAAATATAATCCTTCTCTCCTTGGAGCATGCATTGATTATGCTTGGCTGTGGAAATGCTATTAGCTGGAATGTGAGTGTTGCACTGCTGTCTCTGTCCATGATATTACACCCTAAAATGAGTAAGCATGCTTTCACAGAAGCTGTCTGTTCTCTGTGATGATGTGTGTTTCTTGAGTTGCTACTAATAGTGAAATGCACTTGTTCTCATTTGCCCTGTACTGTTCCACAATAATGTCATTTAGTTTCCCTTACATCTACCACACCCAGGAAAAGGAAACCATTGCTAATTCCTGTTTTGCAAAATCTCAAGCTTCTGTAGACATCCAAGTATAGAACACTGCCTTTCAAATCTCAGTTTTTTTCCAAATTTCCCAGCCAACCTTATCTTCTTTGAAAATCACAATTGTCTCAATTTCTTAAAGCACTTTTCTGAGATAGTTGGAAAAAAAAGACTCTGCAAGCTGATATGCAGCAAAACAGCTGCCAAATGTATTGCTAGGATACACTATCCACATTGCATCATAGGATAATCTTTCATCTGTTTGATCCAACTCCCTTCAGTAGTTTCCTTGTTCCATCTGAGATTTAAAAAAATGATAAAAACTTACATGAAGGGTGCAGTCACAATTTCTAGACAAAAGTAAATTCAAGATACCTATGGAAAGAACATCATAATTTACCTGCTTTTGCTGCTTCTACTGCTGATACAATAGTAGCAGCAAAATAATTTTATTCTCCATCCTTTCCTCCCTAATAATTTTCCAATATATGAAGAATTTTACAGTTCTTAACTATTTTATTTTTATCTTAGAGCAACTTTGAAATTAAGTTAAGATCCCATAGCAGTTCACAAAAAGAAAACAAACCCTTGGTGGTTGGAGATTTGAATTTAAGGATCCCATATATTTACTCTGGACATATCATTGTGTTTAGAGGGTTATGCTGCCTCTGAACTCAACAACCTTCTTATTTGTTTTTGTAAATTCTTATATAATTTTCTCATCAAAATCAGCATATTCTCATATGGACACTCATGGGCCCGTTTATAAGAAAGCCACAGTAGTATCATTAGAAGTGAAATAGTAAAATTTAAAAATGAGCATTCTGAGTAATTTATTCTATATAAATAAACTGTTGTATCAAGAGGAAATTCATGAGTAGAAATTTTGATTGTCTAAGTATGCATTATTCAGATCTGCACAAAGAGTAGCCATCATGAAAATGATTAAGATAAAAAACAGCAGAAAAAAAAAGTAGGAATTACTGGCTTGTTCTTGATAAGAATGTATGTATTGCTATGACAGTAACATGTAAACACAGTAACCTGGATAATCCAGATACTAATGGAGTGCCTTGTATTGTGGTCTAATTTCAGTTTCATGTTGGCCTCCTTCACAGTAGAATATGAGCATGCTGCTGCAATTATTATACATTCTGATGGCCGAGCTCTTTAACACTATGACCTTGAAAGGATGGAGGATAATCTCAATTTTGGACAAAACAATTAGAATTTTTATCTTGTACTTTAGTCTGTGTGTCTTCATAGATTTGGTATGTTAGTTTAGGACTAGTGAAATATTCATCATCGATGCTAGGAAACATAACTTGTCACACAAGGCATTTTAAAATTGATGATTATGTAAATATGTGCAGCCAGCTGGAAAATTTGTTCACATTTGTCATAGACAACAGCAGAGGCAGGTTTTCCCTATGGCTATCCTGGACTTTTGGAATTCTCTTTCTTCTGAAGTGAAGATGATTTTCTGTTTTGGAAGCAGGTGAAGACCATTTTGTTTTGTTTGGCCTTCAGCAGATAGGTTGAAGAAGTTGAAAAGCTAGACATCCCTGTGGATATTAGAAATGGGAAAATAATGTAATGTGTTACTGATCCCAAGGATCAACCTGTTCCTCTGAAATCAGTGTTTAAGTACTTAACAGAGGACTGTAGTTAACAGAGAGTGGATAGATTATTTGTATGGGCTTCATTTGTGTTGGTGCATTACAAACATTACAGACTCTTTAAAATTGCAGTCAGAAACATTGAGAAAGTGTCTTGCATTATATTAGATAGTTCTGTTCAGTTCAGAATACTATACAGTACCTATCCAGGATTTTAGATGGATTTTTTTTCAGCCCTATATGGAAACACCAGGGATTAAACTTTAAATTCAGTGTGCAGATGCTATATTAATAAACTTGCATCTTTTTTGTCAACAAAAATCTGGTTTGAAACAAGGATGGCTTCCTTTGTCAAAAGAGATAGATCAGCTAATTTTTTTTATAGCCAGTACCATATATTTTGCTTGAATTAAGTCTCCATAATTCTATCTCCTTCTGCTTTCTATGTTTCATAATAAAAATACATGTGTTGCTTTCATGGCACTGTTGATGTATAAAATATGAGTACAGCATGGGAACGTCCTAAAATAAGTCTTAGGAATTTCTCAAATGGATAAAATAAAGAAAATAATGTATTGATCCAATTGTCAGTATCACTTACTGGCTTGTCAGTATCTCTTATAGGCTTTATAGATGTTTAATGCATTAATTCTGGAATTCCTTTTCTTTTCTTTTTTTCTTTTCTTTTCTTCGGGAGGGAATTTCATTTCTTAATGAGGAAATAAATAATATGTACATATAATATACATATATGTATATAATATACATATAATATGTACATATAATACATCTGTACTATAATAATACAGATGTTAAGAAATAAACCTAATGACTTGGCTAGCAATAGAAAATATTGAAAAAAATAATTTAAATAGCAATCTTTTCTCTCTTCCATCAGATTATCCTCTTGATTTGAATCACACTGAAAACTTCCTGCAAACAACAACTTTCCTTCCTGAAGATTTTACTTACTTTCCAAATCATACTTGCCCTGAGAGGCTCCCTTCTATGAGTGAGTTTTGTTATGATTTACATAATCACTCTCTTCCCTTTCCAGCTATATGCTCGCATGTGTAAAGTCATGTTCCAACCAGAGAGAAATTCTCTGAAATCCTATTAATTTCAATGTTGCTCCATATGTTTTAATAGTTTTTAATGGAATCTGAATTCAATTTGTTTAACATAGAATTAATTATTCATCTAATATGTTAAGTAGATTTCTGGGATAACTTTACACAATGGAGGAAACTGCAGCTTACCTCCTTGAGTTGCTTCATACTACTTCAAGGCTTCATCCAACACTTTCAGTATGTACAGAAGCCACTTCTGGAACTGCTGGATAAGGCATTGAAGTGGCACCAAGTGAAGAAACATAATTGTTTTGTTTATAGAAAGGGGCAGAGGGTATTGCTTAGTTAAACAGATTCAAAAGGGTGCTCCATTGAATATTCCTTGAAGTGAAGCATTCCTTCAAGGCTTTACATGGTCCAGAAATTAGTTTATTTATTAAAAAAAAACAAGTTATTAATAAAATCTGCTTATTTCATGTGTGGGTTTTCCCAAGTATGGAATGGGAGAGAAATAGAGACCTTTTACCTCATTATTTGTCTTATGTAGATTGGAACTACTTTCACATTTAAAGGTAGTTTGTAGTCATCAAGAACATCTCATTATTTCCCTTTGGCACGTGGAGACTCTTCTTAGATATCCATAGAGGCCATGGAGAAACACATAAAAGAATACAGGTGGTCCTCACTTAATGACCACTCATTCAGTTCAAACTTAGAATGGCACTGAACAATTGGTACTTATGACTGGCCCTCATATTTACAATGGTCACAGCGTCCCTACAGTTGCATGATCGCCATTTGCAACCTTCTTTGTTTTCTACAAGCAAAGTCAGTGGGAAAGCCTACAGGAGCCACAAATGGCAACCATGTGATGTCATATTTAATGACAATACAGGATTCACTTAACGATGGCAACCAAAAGTGCTGGAATTTCCATCGCTAAGCGGCATAGTTACATGATGTCGCTCTTTACGACCGCATTCACCTAGCGATGGAAATTTCAGTCCCAGTTACTGTTGTTAAGTAAGGAGTACCTGTAATGCCTGAAATGCATGGCCTGAACCTTAAAAGGATTATGCTAGAATCTTGAATTGTGCCTGCTGTTTCTAAAGGCTGGTATATCTGATGAGGCATTATAAGCGCGCATATTTTAAATCTTCATGCTTCAACACAGTGTTTGTTAAGTTGCTGCTGTCTTATTTGGTTCATTACATGATTATATCAATGCAGGGTAATGAGGCCTAGTAAAATTAATTGTTTTGTCACCCATAGTGAGTAGCAATTGCCCTTCAGCAAGTTTGGCAAACCCAAGCACACAAGTTTGTTTTATGTGGCACCTGTGTGTTTCCTTTCTTCATTGTTCAGCAGTACAGTAAGAGTATGATACTGTAAATATACTGTAAATACCAGTATATATTGGTTTTGTACTGTAAATACCAGTAAATATATTGGTTTTGTACTATTGCTAAGAAAGTAATGATTAAAATAGTAAAGGGGTGAATTGATCCTGGAAATTACAGTTGATGACAAAATAGCAATAACAGTGGTATAACTTACAGAATGCATAATATGATAAGGAAATTCAGGTATTGCAAAACATGTTCACAGACAGGGCTGTGCTTGCTGCATCTCATTTTCTGCTATTTATGTTCACAGAGGGCCCAACTGATGTAAATATGAGTGAAATCAGTATGGATGAGATCCACCAGTTCTTCTCCCAAGACCCTACTATCAAATTAGGAGGCCATTGGAAGCCTAATGACTGCTTGCCTCGCTGGAAAGTAAGCTAGTGAAAGGGAATGCTGAAAATAATAGTCCTATACTATCTTGAATCATGAGTTTGTTGTGTGCAGTAAAGGACTTAGATTTTTTTTTTGAAATGTTTTTTGTAGAAGCTGTTGGTCTTATAATTCAGGGTTTGTTTGTTTTTTGTTTTGTTTTTGTTGTTTGTTTTGTTTTGTTTTTTGGTAGCTCTTACATTCTATCCAATAGAAGAGAATATCTGTAACTCCGGGTTGAACTGTGGAGTTCTTGGTGCTTGCAGACATTTCATTACCCAGCTAGGTAACATTGTCAGTGCGACTCGCATGTAAGTGGCAAGCAGAGTTTCTAGCACTACTCATTTCTCCACTTTTGAAATCTCATTTCAAGTACAGACCCTAGGAATCTGTAAAATTAGGAATCTGTCTTGAAAAACTGGAGTGCTTCCCATTTTATCTTACATTTTCTCTATCTGTGCAAATGATGGATCTTTAGCCCAGTTTTCTAAGGCTCCTATATATGTCAAAGGATGCAACAGAGCGGATTTATGATCAAAACTAGTATCTGGGTGAAAACCTAATCCAACATTGTATACCTTTCTAAAAAAAAATTTTTTTTTTTGGTGGATTAATCTCAAAATTTTCATGCAGAATAGTTTGAATATCAGTCTTGAGTTGTTCATAATTGTATTGTTTTTATTGTGGTGTTTTTATTACTTCCGTTAGCCACCCAGAGTTATGTCTCACAAGATGGGCAGCCATATAAATCTTTTAAAATAAACAAATTAAATAAATAATTTTCATGGATCTTTCCCGTATTCACAGCTCTTCATTTTTGTGAATATGAATCACACCAAGTAAGATCTGTCTCCAAAAAGCAAATAGGGCTTTATGGCAACAGTATTGCAATAACTGTTTCTTCAGATGGGAAAAAGTGAAGCAGAAGTCAACATTTCAAAACAGAAGCATCTGATGTTATAAGCAGTGCTGGTAAACTTGTTTATGAAATCTGGTACATCTTAATATTAATCTTAAATATTTCCAATATGGTATGTTAATGTAATGAAAGCTCAAGAATCAAGCCTGAACCACTGCTTTAAATTGTATTAATTATAATCTGGCCTCTTGATGTATGTCAGGAATTAGTAGGCTATAAGGTTTGTTGGTGTTTACACGGACTGAAATGGTGAGCCCATCTTAACTTCTAAGTCAGAACTGTTGGGACATGTTCTTGGTGTCTGGAATCTTATTAAGCTAAAATAGTTGGATTTGAATTTTGTTAGCTCTGATGTACTGGAATAGAATTTGGAAGAGCAGGATATTTGGACTAGCTAGTTGCCTACTGTTAAGGATTTTACTTATAAAAATAATGTCCGTGTGAGGTTTACATCTTTGTTTATCTGGTACTGGCAGCTTAGGTTGCTTGCAAGATCTTGGAGGAACTAATGGTCTTTCTCTCTCCGTAGGTGGCTATTCTTATTCCATTCCGCAATCGTTTTGAACATCTTCCAGTTCTCTTTAGACATCTTATTCCAATGCTGCAACGTCAACGTTTACAATTTGCATTTTATGTTATTGAGCAAGTGAGTTTGCATGTACTATTTTTGTTTTCAAGGTTAATTTCTAGATTTGTGAACACCAGTTTGTTTTTATAACATTTTCTCATCAAGTCAAATACTGAATTTATTCCTTTAATAAGGCAACTCATGTCATCCTGAAGCGTTGGTTGATTGTTCCCCTAGCCAGAAACTTCTACCTATGTAATATGCAAATACAAAATATTCTTCCAGTTACTGGAACTGCTGGAGGAGGCCTTAGGAGAGAGGTGAAATGCACTTCATTTTTAGAAGTAACGAGGCCACTTTGCTTTACAAAACATCTTCAAGGAAATGTTTCACTTGAACTTTCAAAGTAAAACATTTATTTGAGGATTTGCACAGCTCTGCTGATTTCCTCGCTAGTGATGGAGAAATGCTGATCTGTTTTATAAGAAAGAGATACTCATAGGGCATTTGCACAACAATGTTATATCTCCAATTCTCAGAATGTTGTTAGAGCTAACAGTTGGCAATTTTCAAATGATTCAAGTCTTCCAAGAGACTGCATGTTTCGTTTGTTGATTTGTAGTTAAAACCTGAGTATATCTAAAGCAAAAATTTTGGTACTTCCTAAGACATATTGTTTTAATTGACTCGGTATACTTTGATTATTCAACTTTTTATGAAGCTGAAGAGAGGTTAGCAGCTTTCCAAATATATACCAGTATATTTAAATTGCTATACTTCTCTTTGATGAAACTCTCACAGTCTTTCCATGTTGCTTGTTTTTCTGTACAATTGCCCATAATTATCTGTGTAAGATCTGCTTAAGAGGTGGGATCTTCATACTTGTATCAAAAAGTGTTATAGCTCCTTCTACAGACTAGGCTGAGATATCATGGAAGAAAAGTGATATATAAATTTTGCATTGCATTTATATTGTAAGTGTTAATTAAATTTGGTCTATATATCCAGATGGGTATGGCATCACTGTGTTTACAGGCATCTGTTAAGCTCCTATCTGTCAAGAGTTAGCCTGGCAACATTCATTTTTGGTATTTGTAATTAGGCTTTAGGGTGGTCCTGCAAGCCCTCGTCAGTCTGTCTATAGGCCTTAATCTGCTGATATGCTAGAAATATCAATCTAAGGAAACACAAAATTTTGTTAGGCAAAACACAAAAGAAAAATCTTTGCCCCTTTGAAAAAGGGAGTTCACCATACTATAAGATATGAAGCAACTAAATGCACACATTCATCCACCTCAAGTTTGTAACTCAGATTATCTTGTGAATGAAAGTAAATGTAATTTTTTATATTGGGCTTCTCTCCTAGGCTGGTAATCAGCCCTTTAATCGTGCTATGCTTTTCAATGTTGGCTTTCGGGAAGCTATGAAGGACTTGGACTGGGATTGTTTGATCTTTCATGATGTGGACCATATACCTGAGAATGACCGTAACTATTATGGATGTGGACAGATGCCAAGACATTTTGCTGCAAAGCTGGATAAGTACATGTATATGTAAGTAACTGCAATTCCCTAGTGAGTAATGCTAAAAGTAGAAAATTAAATAGAAGCAGATATTACTGTAGCTAAAACTGAGACAAGCTACAACATCGTATTTGTTGTGACCACTAAAAAAACTATTCATTTCACACTTGACTAACATTATTTTCATGTCTCTATAGCCTTCCTTACACTGAATTTTTTGGAGGAGTGAGTGGCCTGACAGTGGAACAATTCAAAAAAATCAACGGCTTTGCAAATGGATTCTGGGGCTGGGGTGGAGAGGATGACGACCTTTGGAACAGGTACCTTGCGTTGCAGGGGATGGAGGGGATAGATTGCATGTACATTCCAACTGATGTGGCTCCATGATATAGTGTCAAATTCTACAAGACCATATGAACAAAAAGAATTGTAATAGAAAATGATAAAGGGGTGGTTTTGGCAGTCTTTTCTTCAGAAAGTTCATGTCCTTGGTTACATCTTCCATTATATGCTCATCTTGGCAGTACCAATTGGCTGAAAGCCTTCCCTGTTTTCTTTTTATGCTATTCAGCCCTGTTTTGGCAGCTGCTAGTCTTGCAAGATAACATCTAGAGAGTGCCCACCTCCACAACCATGTTATTATCACTGATGTAATGTTAATCTAGTTCATCTTCCACCTCTGTAATTTAAGTTGACCCAGAAAATACTGTTTATTTCCTGGTACAGATTTTTATGCCCTTAGAAAAGCTGTTTCACATGGACATAACAACAATACTAGTTATAGCTGTACCCCATAGCTTCATAGCTGTCAGTTTATAAACAGCTTATTCCATTTTCTAAATGAAATATAATCAACAGGCTGCCACAAAACTGGTTCAAATGAAAAAGGGTACACATATGCTAATTAAGGAGATATGGTGGAATGCTTATGAATAATGTTGGCATGATGTTTGCTCAAATGATTAGTCTTGGCAAATACTGAATTCAAAGCAGCTTAACGACTCCCTTTCTCCTCCAGGGTTCACTATGCAGGCTACTTGGTTACTCGGCCAGAAGGAGATACAGGGAAATACAAGTCAATTCCCCATCATCACAGAGGGGAAGTGCAGTTCTTAGGAAGGTAAGTAAAATGTTGTTATTCATATTTTGTACATGCAGATTTCCTCATCTGTTAGATGTATGTGGATGTCATTCTACCTGCTAAAACTCTGCTTCCTTAAAAGTTATGGTGAAATCTAACAGCTCTAAAATCCAGTGTATATCTTAAACAATGTAGGCAAACTATTGTCTGCGTTCTCCAATTAGATAGTTGAACCCATTAAGCTTTTCATCTTAAAAAAAATCCTGTGGATCTTTATTTTGTAACCCAAAATTGTTGCATTGCTTTTCTTTATGATTTCTGATAATCTGAAACCGTATTTCAGTTTGAGTTGAAGATGATTCTAAGAGAGCTAACTTGCTATCTCTGCAGGAAAAATAGGTGTGTGTGTGTGGGTTAGGTAATTATGATGGTTCAGATTATCTTACATCACTGAACCTATCTGTTAAGGGTGGATGGTTGAATGCCCTTTGTCCTTCCAGTCAAGACATACTTGTCCCCAGCCCTTTCCTAAGTGTTGAAAATTTAGCTAAATGTTCAGATGTTTCTTCTGGAAAAGTACAAATGTGGGTTATTTTCAGACTGATTTAAGCAAATTTTTAGGATCTCCCTGCTCTTTAGCTGGTAAACGTAATGTCTTTGTGACTTCCACTTTCAAGGATATAGTCCATCAGATATTTTCCCATGCCACCTACAATTATGGCTTGATTTGTAGTCTTGACCATTCGGAGGATACTATTTACTTCCCACTGAAATAGGCTGCAAAATGATGCCATAGTTCTGTCTTTATTACATGTGGTTGGATTATAACTCCATCTATGCTGAAGGGGTGACATTCATGTCATATCCTAATGGAGTCTACTAGGGTCTCTGGTATGAGATTATGCCATATATTGTAACTTTTAGGATTTGGAACAAGAACCAGGGGAATTTGAGTGTGTGTGTGTGCACGTGCCCGCACGCACACACACTAAAACACTCCCAGTTGTATGTTTGAGAAGAGATTTCTTAACTTTAGCACCCTAAACTTCAACAACAGTAAATTTATAAAAAGGTCATTGTGAATGTATATAAAAGCTGCAAATGTTATGGGATAAAGAGGATCATATCAGCATATCAGAAATTCTGTTGTAACATCATACATGTACATATGGAAGACCATTCAGTGTTGTATCATTTCACCAATTATATGTGTGGTTTCTATATTTCATTGTAAGATTTCTTATAAATTTTGGTCTGTTTTTCAAAATGCCTTTAAATTTCTTTAAACTGGCAGTACATCTTTTATCTTGCTTTCTTCATTGCTGTTGAATTGGAGCGCTGATAACTACATGCCCACAGAAAGCCTACTGCTTATATTGCTGTTGCTTAATAATGTTTTGAACTAAGATTTCTGTCCAGCAGTCTAGTGCTATTGTAACTCATTTGTGTGGACATGTTCATTGTAGGAAATGTAAATGAGAGAAAAGATTAATTCAGAACCATGCAGCAGAAAACAGAAGGGTTAATTTTGCCAAAAAATCAGAGGCACACCCATGGGATCGCCACTGTCAGGACTCATAGCAGAGATTGTGGTGCAACGCCTAGAAGCTATAGCACTGCCACACATACAGCCTAGAGTATGGATCCGGTATGTAGATGACACATTTGTTATGATGAAAGAGAGGCAGCTAGAGAGGACACATGAAACCATTAACAACATCTTCAAAGGAATAAAATTCACCAGAGAAGAAGAAAACAACAACACACTACCCTTCCTGGATATCCTCATCAGCAGAGGAAATAACAGGGAATTAGAGGTCCAGGTTTATCGGAGGACAACCCAACCAATCAAGTACTCCACTACCAAGGCAGCAACCTGACCTCCCAAAAGAGGAGCTGTGTAAGAACATTATTCAGGCGAGCTCAAACGCATTGCAGCAACCCAGAACAGCAGAAAAAGGAAGAGGACCACCTATACAACATCTTCCAACAAAATGGATACCCACATAATTTTATCAAAAAGTGCCTGACCACTCAACCTACCACAACACAGCCCACACAAGCGATGGGAAGGATCACGCTGCCATGCATCAGAGACATCTCAGAAACCACCAACAGATTATTACAACCATATGGCATCTCTGTAGCACACAAACCTACAAAATCACTCCAAAATATCCAGGGTAAACCAGGGGACCCAGTTGCCCAAGAAGGAGAAACAGGAGTCATCTACAACATACAGTGTAAGGACTGTAACAAACACTGCATAGGACAGACAGGCAGAAGACTAGCAGAACGCATCCATGAGCACCAGCTGGCAGTCAGAAGACATGATGAAAATTCCTTAATTGCACAACACATGGACAGACTCAACCACAGTTTTAAACTGTCAGCATTTAGATCAAGCCAAATCCAAGCAAGAGAATTCTTGGAAGCCTGGTATT